TCCTAAATTTTCTCTGCATACTCTTCCTGTTTAAGTCTTCTCGGCACGTTCAACTTCAATAATACATTTTATTCTATACATATTTTTTTTTCTGAGTAACGACTGATTGATAGGTTACGCACCTCATCTAACAATCTACACCTGAAGTGCGTCAGCTGTGATCCGAGGCAAGCATTAGTCTGAGGTACAACATATATACCAAATAATTATATTAACAAGTATCAATATGTATTGTTATTAATATATCTAAAAAATGTTTTGATATACCTTGATTATTAGATTCTTGCAACTCATCTGTCATATCAATATTCCAACCATCTGACTCATGTAGTACTACATATTTAAAAAAATTAATACCAAAAAAGTTACTATCGCTACTACATTATAATTAATAAATATACATCTAAAAACATATGTATATACTTTGATTATTAGGCTCCTGCAACTCCTCTGTGTCAGTATTCCAAATATTATCAGCCAAATTGAAATCATCTTGAGATCCTGTTTCTTCGTTTGTCAAATTAGAATCAGTTTCATCATCAATTATATTCACTGGTGCTATTTTAAAATAAAAACATTAATTTAACTATCAATTATACATATTGTATAGCAAAAATAATTTTATATATTGCTATTTAATTAAAAACCATAACATACTTTCAACAGTATTGCCTTATAATATACCCATAAAAATTGATCGTCAATGTTTTACCAAAAAGAATCATTTTTATTAAAGTATCCAAGAAAATGTATAAACACACCTTCGACAGTAGAGGTGTCAATAATTTTATCATCATCATCTGGTATTATTATGGCGTTTGTAAAACGATTCATTTTCGCTTTTAGGAAAAGCAAAAGAGAATTAATCAATTTGATATCATTCGCAATATAGTATATATCGTACGTATGTTACAATAATGATTTTCCGAATGATACGTATAATTTATACGTAATAATGATTTTTCAAGTGATATACATAAGTTAATTTTTGCTTACGTATTGTATGATATTTCTGGGGTATGCATACAGTACCGTACACCCTTGTCTACCTATGTTCTACTATATAATAAACTGTATAAACAATAAAAAAAAAGTACAGTACGACTTTTTCTAACGTACAGTACGAAATATATGTATACTCGAATTTGAGGCCGATTTCAAAAAAATAGACACTTTAATTTACTTTTGATCTACAACTAGTTAATTTTCAAATTATACTAATTTGCAAAATATATAACGATTATACTGTATGTAGTGCTTATCTGTTTGTCTGATTAAAGCAGAAAAAGATTTAAATTGATTAGTTATGAAAAAGGACAGGTAGAATAATCATGGCAGAAAAATTCATGATCAGGTGACATTTTATTATTCCGAATATCATGATGCAGCTAAAATATAATGTCAGCATACCAAATTTATGCAATTAGATATTACTGTATTATTATAATAAGTTTATTGATTATTATCATAATCACCTTATCGTGAATTTTTTCAGACACATCTATTCTACCTCAAAAGGACTGTCTCTTTTGATTATTTGATATTAATTAGCTCTTATTAATTAAATTTTCAAAGTGGTTTGCAGCCAACTTTAAGAAAATACTTTTTTTTCTCTTCTGAATTTTATGTGGCTAACTTTCTGGTTATTATCACTTGCTAGACGTTTATCTAATCTCTCCAGTATTTCTCTGCTTAATTTATCTTACCATTAATTTCGTTCTCATTCAATATGAATTGTTTGCTCTTTTTCTATCTTTTTATTTTCACTTGTGATCACGATTGTGCACAAGGCATCTTCATTGAAATTAATATCTTCAATATTCATTTTGATGTATTTGAAAGAATTGGTAGTATTATCTAAAGTTGTTTGTACATAATTATTAAAGTGTTAAACTACAGATTTTTTTGATGATTCGAACCATTATTGGGATTAACTATGTATTTACTGGTAAGAAAAATATTAATGCTTCAATAACTTTTATTATTTTTCTAAAATATTTTTACTTATCAACTCTAAATGTCACTTCAATACCAATTTCTTTTCTACACTTGATGCAAATACGTCATATGCCACTAAATTAGCAATTCTTTTTCAACGAAAACTTCAACCATATGCTTCATTAATCATTTTGCACTTTGAATGCTTACTAATTTTCTTTTGTGAATTGAAGACATAATAGAGATATTATAATTTTTATAATTTTTAGTTCGTTCATAAGAGGTACACTATATAAGGTATTGACTAAACTTAACATGTAAGTAGAGTATATTAAAATAATTTTGGAAGTATGTAAGGCTAACAAAACTTATAAAATTTAGTTCTAAAAATGAATCAACTTTAACATTAAGGAACATTATTATTATTCTTTTTTTAAGATACAATTCAGTGTTGATTATGAGAAATGTTTTAAAGAATTTTTTTTATAAACTATATAGTACGTGTTTATTTGAGCTTCATTATCTTACTTTTAAAGCCAATATTTTTCTTATACGCGCATTATATTAATAATAATATTTGACGTTCTAAACTATACCAATTTTGAAAATTATAATTTAAAAACATTAAAAATGTAAAGAATATGAATATTTTTTGAATTCAAAACAATAATATTAGAAGCTAAAGATTATGAAAAAAAGAAGAGAAGCGTGCTTTTTTGAAAATAACAATGATTCGAGAGAAATAACATTAAAAAATGGTGGTTTCATTCTATTAAATTTATAAATTTATTATTGTTATCATTGCGCAAATTATTTGGATTGATTAATGTGCCACCAACCTGACACATATTGCACTAAACTAAAAGTTAATTTTAAAATACAACATGGTGATTTGGGCATTTGTGTTCGAAAATTTATTATTTTCTTTATTTTATTTTATATTCACTGGAACCCAACTTTATCACATATTATTTGGACTTAAGTTCCTCCGCTTTACTCCGGAATTAAATATATCAATGCTTTCCAATGTTTAACTTAGATACAATGTTAAAACGTCGTTCTCATGAAAAATTTGTATTGTCAATTTAATTACCATATTGGTAATACTTGTTCAATTTTAGAATTAATATTTATATTTTTATTGAAGTAAAAATAAATAAATATTTAAAGGATATTCGAGACTGAGATTCAAAAAAAGAAGATAAAATAAATTTAAAAATTCTTACTCCCAAAGCAGTAAAAAGAATCTGAAAAATTATTTTTGTTCGAGAATATAATCGATAATTTAATAAATTTTAATTTTCTTAATGATAAAAAAACTCAATTTTACCAATTATAACATTTTAATATATATCTTACAGAGTACAATTTTAAATTTTATATCTTAATTTGTTCTCAAAAGAGAACATGACTTAAATCTAGTATTCTCAATATTTCTTTCACTGAGAAAATTTTTGATAGCTAAGAAGAATTCTATAGTTTCACCCTCCTAAGTGCATGTTACATAAACATATATTTTATACCATTTTAATTTAAGAAATTTCGATTGTACTCATCTGTTTACTAATATATTGGGAAAATTTTTGCGTATCGCGTAGCTTGCTAGTATAAACAACTCGAGAATGTATTTGTTTGACTTCCTCTGGTTTAGTCTTATTGGCTTCCATAAATTGATTTTTGATTTCACTATCATCTTCCTGTTCCATTTCATTTAACCACCTTGTGATTATTTCAATAATTTCTGCCACAAGAGGTCTTTTATCAAAATCATTATCCATACATTTCATAGCTAATTTATTGTAAAAATCTGGTCCTAAACATTCAGGTCTAGATCCAAAGATAATTCTTAAACCAAGGTCATCATTGAACGGAATTCCATCAAATGCTCTTTGTCCGGTCAAAATCTCTGTCGCGATAATTCCAAGGCTGTAAATATCTGATGCTTGAGTATACAGCTGACCCATCAAAACCTCAGGTGCTATATACGGAAGAATTCCACAAATTTTCCCATCCTTTACTTTTTTTGAAAGTCCAAGATCAGTAATATACGCATCATGCAAGCTATCTCCTTGCAAAATATTTCCACTGTGTAAATCTCTGTGAACGAGTTCCTGCGAATGAATCGATTCGAGATCTAAAGCTATATAGTGTAAGATACCCAATTTATATTTCCATTCCAGTTGTGATACTTGTACAAGATTTTGTCGCAACGAACCTTTTAATGCATAATCCATAACAATAATATAGTCACCATCATTATTTCTTGATACTCCCTTACATCTCAAGAACGAAGGATTCTCGTATCCAATTTCACAGTGATTTTTCAATTCCTGGATAAGTTCTTGCTCATTATTATTTGAATCACGAATAACTTTAAGTGCACCACTTATCCACGCACTATTAATTCTATCGAACCAACGTGCATAATATACAGTTGCAAATCCTCCCTTTCCCTCTTCTTCGATATCTTTGAACTCATTATAATAAATCCAAGATAATTTAAATCTCTCATCGTCTAATATTCTTTTAAGTTCAGGATTGATATTATCGGGTGATTTATTAGTTTTCAAAAGGCTTCTATATTTTCTGAACCAATAATTTGCGCTTTGGATATCTCTCTTTGTACC